TAAATATTTTAATTCAATTCGTTGACCTGTATTGATTTCTGATCTGTATAACCAATTCCATGCTAATTATATTTCAATTTAAAATGTGTCTTTTCACTAGAAATTCATCTATCTAGTTATCTATCTATCTACACACACATTTCTTACTCATTTACATTTTTTTGGTCTTTTTGAGACAGTGTCTCCCTATAGCCCCAGTTGGCCTGGAACTCACTATGTAGACCAGGCTGGTCTTGAACTCACAGACATCTGCCTGCCTCTGTCTCCTGAGTGCTGGGTTAAAGGCCACCATGCCCAGCTTCATTTACATTTTTTAGAGGCTAAAAGGAAAAAGCTATATCCATGGTCTAATTTTGCCCAAACAACTTCCAATATCAAGGCTATGAAAGTCCAGTGGGAATAGGAGCAGGGCAAATGGGGAACTTCAGGTCCACACAGAACAGAAACCCACTTCAGCAGTACTCTGCCCTAAAACAGTGCTCCACAGGCTCCTTGGTAAAGCTTTTCCTTCACTTTGCATCTTCTGAGCCCTGTCATAGAGTATAACTGCTTCCATTCTATCTGCTATAGTCAAATGGCATGGTTATATAAGGAAGGATTCATTAGGGAAATGTTATTCAAATCACGTTACATAATCTTTTTATAGTCTTTAAAATTTCTGTCTATCCAGGGCCGTCTAGGTATACTCTGACTGCAAAACAAGAGGAGAACACAATAGCTTCTAGAGGCTCTTCAAATCTTATCCTTGATATTTAAGTGAAATCATGGGACCTCTACCTTCATTAATTAAAAATGCCTTTAATGTATTATAAGACTGGTAAGAAATACATTATTGATCATACACCATTAATATTCTGTTCAATTTAAGTTAAATAGTTTAACTTTACATTTCCAGGCAGTAAACACTTAAGAACTTAATCTTTAAAAGTCATTATAGGAGCTGGAGAGATGGCTCAATAGTTAAGAGCACTTGCTGCTCTTGCAGAGGACCTGGGTTCGATTATCAGCACCCACATGGCAGCTAACAACCATATCTATAACTCCAGCTCCAGGGGAATCAGATGCCCTCTTCTGATCTTTGTATTCTAAAGTTTATGTTATCTTTCTGCAAGGAAATGAATTACAAGATTTGAAAACAATAAAAATTAGATGAAAATAATCTATGGGGATGGAAATGAGTGAGGAGAGCGATTAATTAGACAAATGAATGAGGGATTTTTCTGGGAGGGTAGGGAATGGAAATTTCAACATCTTGATTTGATTCAGATTATACTGGTACATGCATTTGTTAAGACTCATCCAAAAGTACATTTATTGCCTGTATATTTTATTGTGTGTAGTCATATTCCAGCAACAATAAAAAAGATCTAGGAGTGGTAGCACATATCTGTAATCCTAGCACTCAAGAGGCAGGAGAACAGTGAGTTCAAGGCTAGCCTGGATTACACAGTGAATTCAAGGCCAACCGTTGTTATATTAGTGACACCCTATCTCAAAAAGCTATGAATGAATAAATACATAAAAAATAAACATTAAAAAGGGAAACAAATGACAATAATGAAAATCATGGTAAGAATCCAGAAATTTCTATCCTAGTCCCAACAAGGAGACTGGCCAGGTATGTGACCTAGCCAATAATACTTCCTCTTTTCACTATTCATATTTTTCTTCTTGAAAATAGAAAATGGGGTCAAGGGATTATTTTTTTTAACTGTAGCAAGACAACATTGAGTCTTTACTCCTTACACTAGGGTGAAACTTTAAACAGAAACATGTTTCATAATTGGGAGACATCAGAATCATGACCCACTTTGCTCTTCCAGGACATTTCAGCATCCAATGCCAGAGTTCCAAGAAGGAAGAAAAGTGATGTATTTAAGGTTTGATTCATTCAGACACTATTGCAGAAGAAAGATTTTCCAAGCCTGAAATAGGCAACTAAAAACAGAAAAGATAAGCAGAGGAAATGTGGGCCCAACTACATACTCACAGTGATCACAAACTAATCATGAATTTCTAGAAATTATCCCACTTAAGCAGCTTTCTACATACTCTGACTGCCTGAGGGAGGCACTTCAAAAAGAACTGGGGGGAGAGATGGAGCAGGTAGCAAATGGGGGAATGAGGGGCTCATTCCCGTTCTGAGGCCCACACTCAGCCTTCCCTCCAATCCAAAACAGAACAAGATGGCTCTAATAACTATGGTCTTCAAAGTTCTTCTGCATCTGCATCCAGAGTGCGAACACCCTTTGCTGACTCTCTGAAGACTTGTTCCGCAAACAAGAACTTATAGGTACACCAATTCTTACCTCTCTTCTCATCTTCATGTAAGGATCTACTGGACACTGTCCTGGAGGATTCAATTTGGTTCCTATTTTCTTCAAAAAGTTTTTTGTAAATGTATCACAATCATAAATCCTGAATTTCCGGCCATAGAAGACAACATCTATGTTGATATTGAAATGGGACACAGTATAAAACTGGTCATCATTAGGAGGTGGCAGAGAAATCCGATGACGTCTGATAGAAGTTCCTGTAGAATGAAGTAAAATACAACTGTCTTATCATGTGGCTAGCAGGAAGTTACGCTACATGTGAGCAACAATTCCTGAATGCTTTCCTGTAGCAGGGTAGTGAGCAAAGGGCTCTTCCTAGGAGGCAGCAGTAAACATTCAAGCTCAGAGTGAAAGGGAGCCAAGAGTATGGAGGGCCAGAGTTTTCTGACCAGCCTAGTGTGGCATATGTGTTCTTTAAGTGTTGTTAGGGCAGTATTTCTAGAAATTATAAAGACTGGGGTAGGCTTGGATATAGAAGAGGGGTGGTGTAAGCAAAGTAAGCAAATGCCACTCTGTCATCTACCTTTCCTCCAAAAATGGGCTTACTTTCAGCTTCTAGCACTCAACGTGTTCTACTAAGCAAAGGTTAAGATCTGAAGTTAGGTGTTCATAAAAAGGTATACCCTTGGCTAAAAATAAAAACAACACCAACCTAATAAGCTTTAGTTTGTATGTGTCCACACTTTTATTTACAGCTTCAGTAAGCATGAATGACTTTAGCCTGCCTGAAGCTTCATGCAGTGTTCTTTCTTCTGCAAACTCATTCTCCCTTCTTCCTCTACAGCCTCTGCCTAGCTCTACCCAAGAAACCCAATCAAATGAAAATTCTTAGAGACTCCATAGTTTCAACTAGAACTTTGGGTCATGGCTTCCTGATTTCACCACATCTTCCATTTCCAAACCTACGATGCCCATTCACTTCTAGGTAGAGACAAGGACAGAGGTTAACAGTGGCAAGGAGCTGATCATTTTGGAGCCAGTTTCCCAAGCCTCAATTCCCAAGGGGAGGGAGACACAATAAGGATGAGATAACACCTGCATACACACGTGACATGACAGGAAAGGAACCCTCTTATTAGACTAGACAGTAAACATGTCTGCCCTTTGTGCTGCAGGGAGACCATGCCTCTATCTTCCAAGGCTATAAGCAAACCTGCACTTTGTACTAAAGGGAGAGACCATCTTTTCAAAGCTACATATACACATATCACTCTTAGCACCAGGCAAAGAACAGCTGGTGACTCTGCTTGCAAGATGCACAGAAACGTGGGATACCTGTGCAGAAGTGTCTCTCAATACCTGCAGCTGACACAGGCCTGAGAACCTACCCTAAGAGCAAAGAGAAAAAAGAAGCAAAGCAACCTGAGGAGCTAATGATCCAGTAACACTTGGCTTGTATGACCCCAGTTAGAAATATTTTAATATAAAGATGCCAACTTATCTTCTTTGTATCTTGTATAGTGCTAAGAATAGGGCCTTTTCTCAGAATCTAGAAATACTTCAAATTATTTATTCTTGTTCACTAAGGAACATTTAATGACTATCTTTAAGGTACTGTGTTGGGCTCTGTTTCATTATTCCATTTATCTTTTCAGTTTGTTAAGAAGAAATTAAGTAAAATCATTTTCATCTTCTTTTCTTCATAGCAATTTTTAATTACTTAGTACATTAAATTAAAATAATAAAACTATAAAATTAGAACTGGCTAGAATATTTTTAAATATACTACACTACATAAAAGATGATATAATTTTACTGTAAAGAATTATACTTCAATTAGCCTTTAATTCATGCCACTGAAAACAGTATGCAAATTATTTAATCATTCAAGATTAGACATTTAGAATAAATTGCATTCTTAAACATCTATAAAAGGATCGGCATTTCAGATATTTCCAGGAACCATTATATATCTCTCTAAAATACTTACATCATGACAGGTTTTTAAAATACAAAAGATTTACTTAACAGCCTGGAGCTTCTTCAAAAATTCCATGTAGGGGGCTTGGGAGATGGCTCAGTGGAAAAAGTACTCACTCCGCCAGTGTGAGGACCAGAGTTCAGATCTCCAGAATCCACGTAAAACCCAGGCAAGAGTGGCAGCTGCCTGTAATGCCAGCATTCAGGAGGCAAAGACAGGGGATCCCCAGGGCAAGCTGGCTAGCTAGACTAGCCTGAATCAACGAGCTCAGGTTCAGTGAGAGACCCTACCTCAATAAACAAAGTAGAGAACAATTGAGGAAGACACCCAGCACCAACCTTGCACCTCCACACACATGTACAAATAGACACACGTACAAAATTCCATCTATATTTACCTTTGTACTCTGTTGTAAGAACTTGAATAAACTACTTACAGCTTTTGTTCAATAAAAATGGGAATCCTACCATTTTTCTAGGTATGGAATAGACTATAAGGCATTTAAATAATAGTAATCACAATCATCGTCATAGCCCTAGAAAACATTTTCATTTACAGTTTCTCATTTAATCCTCAATAATTCCTGAGACAGACAGTACATGAAATATGAATGCTCACTATGTAGATGAGGAACCAAAGCTAAGAATGCTTAAGTGCCTTGCCCATTGTGATGCCCTAACAAATGACAGAGAAGTATTTGAACTTGTGATTTCAGGCTGTAACTAAATACCATTATTTTCCACAATTTTCACTGACTTATATCTCACTTTACATCATCTACAAATTACTTAAGTGAGAGAAAAGAAGACCCACAGGCAAAATAGAATAGAAATGAGGTAGAGAGATGCCAGCTGCCAGGAAAAGAAGATAAATTAGTGACAGAGCTGCTCTTTCAAAACAGCCTGTCCCCATTCTAAGGACAAATTTGCAGAGCCAGCCACCTGCCCCCTGCAACAATTCCTGCCACAGGGCCAGCCCCACAGCATTTCTGCCCCTCTGGAGCCTGTGTCTCAGGCTTCCACACAGCTTCCTTATCTTAGCCCACATAGCACATTTCTCTCACCAGATGCTTTAGAAAACACCAGGTGGTAACTGAAAATGGCCTTGACCATCCATGGGCTGGAAAAGAGAAGGCAGGTCTAACAACAAACAAACAAACAAAAAGCTGCCAACAAGAAGTCTAACATCACAATTCTGCATTAATATGAAAACCAATGTGAACCTTTGAAAATGCATAAGTGCACACGAGAACTTTCAATCACATATTCCTGAGGTTGCTCAACTGTGTCCTCTATTTATTGGGATTTGCGCATTTATAGGCTTCTATGATAAAGGACAGAAACTCTACCAGACGGAGTTCACTCTAGAATGCCAAAGACATGGCCAGGATGCCATGTCTTTGGCATACATTGAAGAACAGCTTTCAATTAAGGTAGATAAATAAAAATAAAGTTACAGAATGAAAAAAAGCACCATATCTGCCCCTTAAATTCTCAGGTGTTTATCTTCTCAGCTGTCCATAAAGCTAGCTGAGACACACATCTAGGCATCTGGTACTTGCTTTCCAGTTTGTACTTATCTTATTTTGTATCTCTCTTCCTTTTTAAAAGCCATGGTATCTGACTATACCATGCAAGCTTTAACTTTCCAGCAGTTCTCTATGGTGAAGCTCAAAGCTGCCATATATGCATTTACATTTAGCATGATTTTATGTCATTAGGTTAGGACCTGCCTTCGATTTTGCTCTTAAAACTAAATTCAGGAGGCCTGCACAATCCACCAGCCTCTCTCCTGGTCCCCAGGAGCCCTTGGGGCCTCTTCCTGCCCCCATCTCCCTTTGCATCACTGGGTGGCATGGCCACCAGCTGCCTGAGACCAGCATCTTTCCTGGGCCCTGCTCCCAGGCCAGTCCAACCCCCAAATTCCTGAGTACAACATCTTTCTTGGAGGGATCCAGACCTTAGGAGAAAGCCTGAAAGCATCTGATCCTCATCTGACTTGGACCTCTGTGGGAACTCCAGAAGACAAAAGCTATCTGGCCACTCCATTATAAAATCAAATGAGAGAACCAGAAGCTTAGACGAACCAGCATTTCATGCCCAAAAAGTAAACCACAAAGGCACATAAAGTTTACAAAAAGAAGCAGACCTAAACTTGAAGGCTTGACTCTCACACAAGAATCAGAAACTACAAAAGAAATTCACATGTCAAAATCACAGAGAAAAAATAATAACATGAAAAACCAAAAGAACATATCCCCACCAAATACCAATAGTCCTCTAGAGGAGTACAATGAGAACCCTCTAGAGATAATGCAGGACATGGAACTCAAAAGAACAATTATAAACGTGATAAAAGAATTCAGTGAATTTAAAGAACACACAAACAAAGAAATCAAAGAACTGAAGGAAGATGGTGATAAACTTCTGAATGAATACAGAAAAGAGCTAGAAATATTGAAGACTACTCAGGCTGAAATGAAGAAGGAAGTGAAACACTCAGTAAGCCAATTAGAAACGACAGGAGAAAGCCTCACCAACAGGATGAATGAAATGGAAAACAGGGTATCAAGACTGGAAGATAAAGTGGACAAACTAGACCACTCAAGCAAAAATTAAGAAAAAATTAAGAAAGCACAAGAATGGAATATGCAGGAATTGTAAAGACCAAACTTACGAATCATAGGCATACAGGAAGGTGAAGAATCCCAAGATAATGGCATGGACCAGATCCTGAACAGAATCATAGAAGAAAATTTCCCAAAATCAAAGAAAGACATGCCCACACAAATAAAAGAAGCATATAGAACACCAAACAGATAGGACCAGAAAAGAAACTCTCCATGGCACATCATAGTAAAAATACTAAACGTACCGAACAAAGAGACAATACTGAAAGCTGCAAAAGGAAAACAACAAGTGACATATAAAGGAAAACCCATTAGGATTACAGCTGACTTTTCAGTGCAAACTATGAAAGCCAGAACAGCCTGGACCAAAGTATTCCCAGTTTTAAATGACCACAGAGGCCAACCCAGATTACCATACCCAGTAAAAATGTCTATCATATTCGAAGGGGAAAGAAAAATCTTCCATGACATAAATAGGCTGAAGGAATTCATGTCCACAAAACCAGCCCTTCAGAGTTCTGGAAGAAATACAAAGAGCTGAAGAAAGGAATGACTATACCCAAAGGATTGCGGAAAGAAATCCAATGAAGGTATAACTGTGGAAAAGTGTAGCTACATCACGAATGTAAATAGAAATAAAAATGACA